CACGTGGCGTTATCATATTCAAATTAAACTACAATTATAATTGTGTGGACAAAAAATATCAACATCATGTCTTTAAAAATGATTAAATACATAGAACCTAGATTTATTTGATAAAGGACCTTTTGACAATATTTCCAGGCATGAAATATGCAATTATGTCTTACTAGATATAGCCAATAATTACTTACGTCCTAATTTATATAACATCGTTTGATCGTAAATTTTAAGGGAAAATTATGATCGAAAATAAATCATTATAAATTATTTTATTAAGATTAAATAGAGAATTTCAAAAACAAATTCTTATTAATTAAAGAAAACTTATTTTTTTTTTCTCGATAAAAAATTGTAAGCTTTTTTCGATTTTTAATGATTGGGCTTATATATTGGGCCTTCATTGTTCAGCATCTCTTATGATTGGGCTTATATTGGGCCTTTAAATCTCTTTATTGTAATAAGGCCTATTTTTTGATAGTTTAATATTGGTTTGGGCCTCATAAGCCCAATAGGATTGATTCCAGAAATGGACCTGGTCATTATATAATGAGCAACTTTCACATATAGCAAACTATTTGTATGCTATAGCAAACTTTGCATAATTGCGCTCCATAGCAAACATAAAACTGTATAATTTGCTATATATATACAATTGTATAATTCGCTGGCCTAAATTGTATAATTCGCTGGGCTATTTCGTTGCAATTGTATAATTTGTTTTGCATACAGTTGAATCGAATTAAAATGTATGTATATTGCATAATTATAAGTGTATAGCAAGAAGATATATGTTTTTCTCGCTTTATACAAAAACAAAAACACAATATATACACTTCTGTTGTATAAAACTAGAGAAAATTGTATTTCACTGCAATTGTATAATTCGCAATTGTATAATTCGTTGGCCTTTTTCTCTGCAATATTTGAAGTAAAATGTTTGTAAATTGTATAATTAAGTGTATAACATGAAGATATACATTTTTGCATGTGTATATACAATTTTCTCTCGCTTTATACAAAACAAAAACAAAATTATACATTTCTGTGTATAAAGCGAGAGAGGCGAGCGAGAATGGAGAGTGGCAAGCGAGATTTTTGGGAGAAAGACGCTGGCAAATTTTAGATAATGTTTGCTATGGAACACAATTAAATCAAACCCTATCTATTCCATTTAATTTAGGTTATTAGTTTGCTATTATATACAGTTTTCCCTTATATAATTTGCATATTTACAGACTGTAATTACAGTTCAAACTGGCTCATTTATATAATTCATAGGTTTTTATAATTCGCGGGTATATTTGAATAATGAGCAACTTTCACATATAGCAAATAAAAATTCATATTTGTATGCTATAACAAAGTTTACATAATTGCGCTCCATAGCAAACATAGAAACTATATAATTCGCTATACATATACAGTTGAAGCAAATTGTATAAAACAAGAAAGACAAAGACACTTGGGCAGAGAACTGTATAAAAATGAAGTATATAAAACGAATTGTATTATTATAATGTATAGAACGATTATATACAATTTGAATTTGTATAAAATGGAAGGAGAGAAAGACCAAAGAGATTTGACAAGGAATATACAATTGAATCGAATTGTATAAAACGAGAAAGAGAGAAATTAGAAACAATTTTTATACACTTGTGGTTGTATAAAAAGTGAGGAAGCGAGCGAGAGGTTGGAGGAGAGTGGCGAGCGAGATATTTGGCAGAGAGGCACCTGACAATTTTTTGCAAACGTCTGCTATGGAGCACAATTAAATCAAACTCTAACTACTCTATTTAATTTACGTTAGTAATTTGCTATTATATATAATTATCCCTTGAATAATTCAGATATATTAGTATAAACTCAAAATAATGAATTTATACAATTGCAGAAATCAGATAAATAGTTATACAAATTCTAACTTATACAAAAGTTATACAAATTTAGGTTCGAAGATAATCAAATTCCTAATAGATTTCGTTGTTGTTTTTTCCATCTTCTAATGTTGTTATATTTATATCAATCCAAATAATTAACAAAAAATATATTTTCCATGGAAATAATTGTGGAGAGTGGAAAATAACTAGACAAAGTTAATCCATGAATTTGGCTGAAAATTGACAAATTACTCAAATTGAATCAATGGGTAGATGCATGGATGTTATAAGCAAATACTATATCTTCCCTTTTATTTTTCATTTGTCATAAAGTGGTAAAAATATGTTTTAATTTTTGCATTTAAAATTATAAGATGTTAGTTCCATACTATTCTTCTAATAAGGTATACAATAATTATTTTTATTGATAATTAACTTTATAAATCTCTCTTGAAATGTCAATTTGTAATACATTCATCTCTTATGATTTTAAATATTAATTTATTTTCCTTAATCAATTTTAGTGCATGAATAAAACACAAAAACTACTTTGGATAAACAACTTGAGATGCACACATTAAGATATATATAGACAATTCTTTAAATTTATCAGGTAAATCGCATTTAATTGAATATCTTAACTTTTAATATAATATTTCAATTAAGATAATAAATATTCTTTTCTTCTATATTTTTATTCCCATTCTCTTTTATACGATGTTAATAAATTCTAAATAATAAAGATATATCTTTTCACACAAATTTCACTCTTAATTATTTTAAATATTATATACATTATTCGTCATTTTCAAAACTAACCATAAAGAAACTTTACAATATTCTATCTTGATTTTGAACCTTCCCATTATTTTTTTCAAAGCAATTTCACTATTTTTCGAACCTAAAATATATTTTATTAATTAATATTTTAAAATCAAAAGTTAAATCTACATATAATGAAAAATACCATCATTTCTAAAAATAATTCATAGTAATATAATAATTAAAAAAACACATCTTAAAATTTACGTCAATTAACCCTTAAAAATAAATGTACAAGAGTAATAACGAAAGGGAAAAAAAGTATATTTTAAGCTATACGACTAAGTAATACGAAGCGTTAAAAAATAATTTGAGATAACTATATTAATTCGACGAGATAGAAAAGAAATAGAAAATGACATAAATACCCTCAACTAAAGTAACCTCTATTACATACACTATATAGATAAACATTATAGACAAATCTCATTTGGTCTTTAAAAAGACAATCTTTTTACACTCGACAGTTACACCCCACTACCCCCCACCCCCTCTTCCTCTTCCCCAAATCATCCATCAATTTCTCCGTCTCCATTTCAGATCAAACCCCCAAAGCCCTAAAATCCCCAAAAATTGAGGAAAAAATGGAGCATCATACAACTACAAGCAGAGCAGAAGCAGAGAGACTGTTAGGAGTTGCAGAAAAGCTGTTAAGAGATAAAGAATTTGCCCCTTGTAAAGATTTTGCACTTCTTGCTCAAGAAACTGAGCCTTTACTTGAAGGACCTGACCAGATCTTAGCAATTGCTGAAGTTCTTTTAGCTTCTGTTAAACGAATCAACAATCACCATGATTGGTACTCTATTCTTCAAATCCAAGGTCGTACTGAAGATTCAGAGCTTATCAAGAAACAGTATCGTCGTCTTGCTCTTCTTCTTCATCCTGATAAAAACAAATACCCATCTTCAGATACTGCTTTCGGCCTTGTTGCTGATGCTTGGGCTGTTCTTTCAGATCCATCAAAAAAGGGTCTTTATGATAATGAACTTTCCCTTTTTGGTAGAGTTAAATTGACTCCTTCTGCTCGACGAGGAAGACCTAGAGGGAGTTATAATAAGCAGAAGAAAGGAGATGCGAAGTTACCTGTGAGGAGGAGTAGTCGAGCGAGTAATTCGGGTTCGGGTCAAAATCAGAACCCTAATCCCAGTCCGGTGAGTCAGAAGAGTTATCATAGTGCGCCGCCGAAGGCTACGGCGCCGGCGCCGATGAGTGGTGCGATGAGAGGGCAAAGGGTGGTGAATTTGTGGACGGCGTGTCCGTATTGTTACAATTTGTATGAGTATCCTAGGGTTTATGAAGGGTGTTGTTTACGATGTGATAAATGTAAAAGGGCTTTTACTGCTACTGAGATTTTGTCAATGCCACCAATGGTGCCAGGGAAAGAAGCTTATTATTGCATTTGGGGGTTTTTTCCAATGGGTTTTGTGAATGGGAATTTGGAGGATTTGGGTACTGTGAAAGGAGCTGCTGCTGCTGCTGCAACTACTGGTGCATTTCCAACTTGGATGCCACCGATGTTTTCGACTCAAAATGCTGCGAATAATCAACAAAATGCTACTCCAATTCCAGCTACGGTTCAGGTAACGAATCCAGCGCCAGCGCGGCCTCAGGCTCCTCCACCTCCTCCTGCTGCTGCTGCTGCTGCTCCCAGACCAATGTCGACAGGACCTAAGAAAAGAGGTAGGCCTAGGAAGTATAACTAAAAAAGGTTTGATTTTTATGGTTTGTCTCAAGAATTTTGAGTCTTATGGAGATTATAATGTTTAGTTTGATCAAGTCGACTGGAATTGAATGATCGATCGCATCTTGTAGTAAGTTGAGTAGTGAGCAAAAGTAGTTGCTTTTCTACTCATCATATGAAGAAGTATATAACTGCAGAACTGTGCTGTAGCTTGTTCTTGTTAGATGCCTTGTGTTTGTAGAAATTTCTCGTTGTTGGTAGATTTTCTGCGGTTTGTAGGTACTATATTTATTCAATTGTCAAGACTCGTTTTGTAATTGAATGATCTTTATGCCAAATTTCGAAATTCTAATTTCTGTCTTGTTCACATTTTTCTGGAGTTACTCTTTGAGGCATGGTGGTTGTTATTTTGTCTAGTGTGTAAAGTTTTGATCAGGTACCTGATGTTCTCTCAAGTTTTTCGTAAATTTCATGTATATGTTGTTCGTCTATTGGATTGAACACCTTCTGTCTGAAGACTGTATTTGTGCTTTAGCATATTGACTAGTTTAGAATTCTTTTTGAATTAACGGTTCACGGGTAAATATGTGTCTAAAGATGAATGATACTTTTTATCTCGATGAATAGTCGAAATAGATACCCATAAATAGTATTCATCAACTTGATAAGATTGTCAATAGAACCAGAATTGTTGAAATGGTGGAAGCAAAATGTTGAGAGCAATGTGCTAAGAAGACACTACAGAAGATTGTGAGAGCCTAAGACACTCACTTTGACACCTCTTAAGACAGATATCATTCCAGTTAGGTACTTGGTGCTGGTTAACACAAACAGTCCGAGCACACGCATCAGCACAAGCATCGAGCTCAGAAACACCACAAACAGTAACACAAGTATCAGGTGTCGGGTCTTTAGAAAATGCACCAACCTTCTTCAGCATCCTGTTTGAAGTACACACTCTTTCACAAACAAAGATATCATCGGAGTTCTTCTCACGACCTCTGGCCCTGTTTGACCTCTCCTCCTCATCTCTCCTTTTTTTCGTCCTGAAAGCTTGCCCTGCCATTACAGCTGGTACTGCAGCTCCAAGAACAGACCACCACCATTCCACCATTATTGCTACCTGAAGAATACTATAGCCTTCAAGGCTTCGACCTTGTCCTTGACTATCCGTGATTAGACACGTGTAAAATAAGAATTAGCATAACAACACAAACAACTTAAACGTAAAACAAAACAAAGATTCATGCAACAAATGCATCCAAATGATCGATATATTTTGGCTCAACCTGAAATTAGGATGTGTTCAAGAAATAAGGGGTAGTTGTACGTTATGCGTTCCTCTTATGCTTTTTAGCTTAACTGAATAACACGAACATATCATTTATGCCTCCATTTTTAGATAACCATCACTTATGCTCCCTTTATCATTGAGTTGTATCCAAGTTGAAACTGGAAATTACCACAGGAGAGTCTAATACCATATACCTGTGCTAGAGACGAGGTACACATCAAGTTGGCTCAAACACCACCATTATGTATGAAAAATAAAAATAGGACTTATATAATGACTACAAGTTGTCTAATGAGCAATCCACCACATTTTTAGCTTGCCAAAATGCTTACGCCTTATAATATATATTAAGCCTCAACTATTTCAAGGCTAAAGAAAGCCCTTATAATATGCCCAATACTGAACCCACTCTTTAGTAAGAACCAAGAAGAATGCTCTGAAACAAATCATACTCATTCCATTCTTGACCAAATTGTACCATCCAGTTGCTTGGAGGCGCAGTGAATCATATCAGTTATTTCTCTATCTGAATCCTTCTGCAAGCATCTTATTCAAGAAAACACCCAGTAGGGCGTGCTGGTCGCAAATTTGCTTAAGCAACATGAGTAATATTGATTAATTTACCTTGAACAATATTGTTAGCATCGACAGATAAACTCATTTTCAAATGATTTTCGTTGGTATGATAAAAAGTCAATAATTATTTGATTAAAAATTGATGATTTTGAGGTAAGAAACACGTATTTCATTTCTAAAGTTCATAAAAAAAAGTAGGAGGAAAATGTAAATGAGAACACCCCATACCTTTCATAAAACAAACTATGGAATAAAGAAAAGTGAAATTAGTTACATCTTCATAGATTTTATATTAAACCCTATAAGCCTAGTTAAGATTACAACGATTTCAATTAGTAAGGGTAAGGTTGGTATACATCCGAATTATACTGGTATGTTGTTGATGATGACTTCATTTTATTAAGGCCAAAGACATGAGCAAAACACTCAAACTTGACCTCAGTTATAATTTTAACACTTTAACTCAAGCTTGTTCCAGTAAGACCTTCCAACCCTCATCAAAATGTATTACTTGGGTCACTTTTGACTAACTAGTATACAAAATAGTCATAGAAAACATTTTCCTTCGTAACAGACACCCCCTTAATGAGTGGTTGCACATTTTTTGTATGAAAAGAAAGCAAACAAAAGGGAAAATGTACATTTGCCTTCTTTTTGTTTCACCGGTGGTGACACGAGACTCTACCGTGGAAGCCGGTAGCAGAATGGATGGCTACCGTGAAAGTCTCTCAAGCCATTATACTTAGATATCACGAAGATAAGGAAATTGGGTGCAACAACGAGTAATAGTCATTGCTATTGTTTGAAGCAGCTATTCTGCTATGAATGCTACCTCTTGTTCCATCATTGTCACACACAATAGCAATCATATTGGCCGGATGAATTTGCATAATTCTTGCAAATCACTACCAATTTTCTGCTCTGATGATAAAGTAAGCTCCACACAGAACATAATGTTCATATTACACCACTCCTAACTAGCTAGATACTCGCATGCCCTTCAAAACTTTGTTCTTGTAACAGTAACTACAACCCTTATACGCAAGCAGGATGTTATGAAGAGTGCTCCACTAAAAGCAACTTGCAACTTATGGAACTAAAATCTTAAAATTTGCAACAAACCAATCCAAAAAATGACCTTTACTTTCTAACACATCACCATAAACATGAGGATGACCTTCTCATCCTCAGAGATTAATGCAAACTTAACCTTACAAAAGATTCTTTGCTGCAATCTTCACAGCGGTCTTTCTAACCACCTCACTTACAATGTCTTTTCCACCTCAGTCAAACAAAAAATTGCGCCAAGTTCTCCAAATGAATGAAACTTACTTCAACCTTCCCTTGCCATACTAAACCAGCATTGAGCATACAATAGACTAAGTTGCACTCATTCTTAATGAATTCTTTGGGCTTCTTATAAGAATGTGACTATTCCTTTTATCAGGTAATATTAAAATTGACGAATACGATAGCAAGAGAGTAACAATAACAATACAAAAATGGAACTAGACAACGCTCAACCTCTTTTATCTTCCTATCTTGTTTAAACTGTGTATTTATTTTTGTATGTCCAAATTATCAAATTAGAACACAATAACTCAAAAGGGCTAAACTCTTGAAACACCATTAATTTCAATTCTGTCTCTGTTACTAGTCTTAAGTTCACATTCGCTTACCACAAAAGGAGTAATGACTGTGGTTGTATTCTGTACCACTCACTTAAAATTCTAGATTCACATCTGCTCACAGAGACTCAGCACTAATCATTTAACAAGAACAACTGCTAAAACTTCAAACTTTAACAATGGCTGAACAAGGGTTCATCAAACACCTTCCAAGTGTTAAACACACATAGCATATCAGATGCAAAAAAGATCAATTTTTTTCAACAGCATGACAAAATATGTGCAGATGGGTGTCATAAAACATCAAGAACATGTCAAATTGAGAGACTTTTTTCCATATTATTCAAGAAATGTAATCTTCATATATGCAAAGGGGATAGAGAAACAACCATATACTGCGAAAATAAACACTTTATTAGCTAAAAAAGGGAACATACCTTGATTTTATCTCCTTTAACAGCCGTCACAAGTGATAATCAGTGAGCATCTAGTAGCTCTGAGTGTGTATTTTTTTTTTGTAAAACCTTTTGTTCTCTGCAACAATAAATGGAAAAGGGTTTATCAAAAACAAGAAAACGATAATCCTTTTTGAAGTTTAAAAAATAACAAAAGTAGTCCCATATGTTTGTTTTAGATTAAAAAATAGTCCTTTTAATATCATTTAAGAAATTATAGTCTTTTTTTTTCCTCTAAATTTTGGAATATTTACCCAAAAAAATATTTAATCAAAACCATTATAAATTTTAATACAAAATCCTAAATCACAATGTAACAGAAAAAATCATGCCTCAAGGTATTTGAAAAATCGTGACCTAAAATTATGAAAATACTAGAAACTTATAGATTATAGACGTCGAAGTGTAATGTTACGGCGACCGCCGAAAAGAAGCATCTTGCAGACGAGTGAAAGGGAAACGAGAAAGAGGCAGAGATTGTTAGGTTACTTTCGTTGTTATATAGAGAGGGTTCGATGTGGGCTGGACTTTTTTTGTCAGATTTTTTAATTTATTTTTGTTGAGATTTTGGGTCGATTGGTTAGAGCGATAAATATCTATGAATAAAAATTTTGACAAAAAAAACTATAACAGATGAACTTTCAAATGCAATTTTTATTTAGATATTTTTATTTTCATAATTTAAAAATATATAATTAAAGTAAAGAAATATTTTGTGGAGGCAAAAACAATTTATTTTTGATAATACTTAAATAAGCAAAATCATACTACCAATACTTTAACTCTTTAATAATTTTAGCTGTAAAAAATAATAAAAATCGAATCTAAAAAGTTTTATCAAAGACTCTTTATTGAGGGATTTATTATTACTTAATCTTAAACTATATCGAACATGTTATTATTAATTTTTTTTTCTTATTTATATTTAATAAAATAAAAGCACAACAAAATTCTAATTTTAGAGTGACCAAAGTAGTGTGTAACTCAATGCTTGTGTGGCCTTTAGCTAAAAAGTCCAAAAATTCATCAAAGTATATAAAATAGAGTGACATTTGTGTTCATTCAAGAACCTTCTTTTCCCCATTTCTTCATCCCCAAATCCTAATACATTTTTTCCCAATTACATGGATGGTGAATCTTGATTTTCTGTGAAGGATAACTTCACCTTGTTGTTTATATAAGCTTTTTAGCCGGTATGTGTTCTTGTTTCATCTTCTTGTTTTTGTTTTGGGTGATTTTGTTTGATTGGTCCGAAATGTTCTTAATTGATGCTTGTTTTGACTTGTGAGCCTTTTGGGGTTGACTAACATGCACATTCTTGATGAATTTCACTTGGAAAAAAAAATGGAAGTATGAGTAGATATCAACTAGTTAGAGGGAGGGTTAGTCTGTATCGACCTAAAGTTTTGTAATTTTGGTTGAGATTGATATGGTATGTGTGTAAAGGTGTGATTTTTATAGAATTTTGTTGTTTGGTGAAAAAAATGTAACTGATCCCAAATGAAGCTGAAATGATATCGAGTCGAGTGTCTATTGGAAACAATCTCTCTACCTCCCAAGGCAGGGGTAATGTTTGCTTGCACTCTACCCTCCCCTGACCACGCTCATGGGATGACATTGGGTATGTTGTTGTTGTTGTATAGCCTAATTCAACTAGTTGGGGGTTGAGGCATGGTTGTCTGACTAGTTGCACATTCTTGCTGAATTTCACTTGAAAAAAATGAAAGTCTGAGTACATATCAACTAGTTTGAATGAGGGTTAGTCAGTTTCGACATAAAGTTTCTTAATTTTGGTTAGAGACTGATATGATATGTAGGTAAAGGTGTGATTCTTATAAAAATTTGTTGTTTGGTGAAATGGAACTGACCCAAATGAAGCAAAAATGATTTAGAGGATTCGTATAAGCCTAATTCATTTTGTGAGCCGAGGGTATATCAGAACCAGCCTCTCTACCTCCCAAGGTAGAGGTAAGGTCTGTTCACACTCTACCCTTCCCAGACCCTACTCCCGGGATTGCACTGGGTACGTTGTTGTTGTATAGCTTAATTAAACTAGTTCAGGGTTGAGGCATGGTTGTCGGTAGATTATATTTGCCTTTGAGCTACCACTATGTTATGGTTTTAACTTATATTGAATATCTTGAATTTTAGCTTGTGTTATAGGAGAATCTAAGTGAAACGTGAATTAGGTTCCAATTCAGAATGTTGAATGCAACAATAGACAGTTGATAGTTGTCAAAGATGACTGAAAAGAAAAACACCTTCGACTAGTAGAGTTATAGTATAATAAAGAGTAAACAAGTAGAAAGGTTTATTTTGGCAAAATCGGGATAGTAGTTTCTTTATGATGCAAGCACACTTTCAAGTTTCAAAATTTCACTTTTTATTGGGTATTGCACATTTATTGAAGATGTTACTTGTGCCTTATCTTTTGTTTTTTCATCCACAGGTTGTTAATTGAAGGAGAGTTATTGAGAATAAAAAAAAAAGTAGCTGGTATAAGATAGCTGCAAACAGTAAGAATATCTCAAAACTACTTCATTATTTTCTATTTGAAGTTTATATTTACATTAACGACTTTTAGTTTATATTACCGCCCATGGAAAGTCCAAAGGTATATCATATGAAACTTGCATGATTTCCGTTATATACTGGAAAACCTTGGTGCATATTTTAAGAACAGATAGATATGGTTGACATTTGTTTCATTCAAAACTTCTGGAGAATGATCCCTGGGATGGAAGTGTACACATACTTCTTGTTAACATGAGATTGAAGTATCTTGGGCTCTTAGCCAGCTACGTATTTATTTAGGAAATGCGAAAGGTGGACCCTGTAGGCAATCACTCAAGTTGTTTCCTAAGGAAATGTGAAGTGAGCCCTGATGTGTCTCAAATTGTTTCTAGCTGACAACCAGCTCCATCACTATTCAAGCTCATTGTCGAGTATGTTTGGTTATGACTTAGTGAAATTCCAAAGGGAGGTACTCATGTATATTCAGATGATCATTGTTGATGATACCTCAGTTTTAGGAAGTGTTGGAGCATGTTTTAAAATTATGTTGGGAGGAGGCATCATGGAGGTTGTTGAATAGTTTTTATTCACTTTATTTTAGCTTTATTTGGAGACGGCGAGAGGTAATTTAGTTTCTACATTGTGTGCATGTATATATGGATTTAAGAGCGTCTGAATCAATATTATATAATTATATACATATATATATTGGCTTAATGATTTGTTATGTATTACTGTTATCAATTTAGTAACGTGTTGTATCCTGAGATAGATTGAAACTTTCAAAGAGTCTCTGTCGAAATTAACTCTATGAGAGGAAGTCGAGCATACCTAGATAATAAATCACCATAATTGTCGGCTGTCCAATAGATTCATTACATTTCTGATTCTGTAGACATGTATTTTAGTAACGAAGGGTTAAATGAAAATGCGAGCTGATTGATGGACCCGATGCTTTGAGGTGAGAGTTGGGGAATATCAGTTCCTTCTCAGTTAAGTTCTTCTATGAGAAGCTTCTGGTTAGGGCTTAGGTAAGTTTTCTGCATGCATCAGTCTGGATTCCTAAGGTGCCGAGGAAGGTGTGCTTCGTGTAGTTAGCTACTAGAGGGGTGATTTTGAGGGCAGAGAATCTTAGAAATGAAAGGTTGTATGCTTGAGCTGGTGTTTCCTTTGTAAGGAAGCGGATGAGGATGTGGACCATATTCTGTAACATTGCAAATCAGCTACCAGGTTATGGGAGGATATGTTCGGATCGTTTGGTGTTTCTTGGGTAATGCCAAGTTCCGTGAAGAAGTTGATATCCAGCTAGAAGAGGGGAGCTAGGAGAAGAAGACACAAGGCTTGAAATGTTACTCTACTTGCTTTGATGTGGGAAGGAGAGAAATCAGAGAGCTTTTGAAGTGGTGGAGATGAGCTCTACTTATTTGAGGAGTAGTCGCTGATCCCTTATTTTCTTTTGGTGCACTCATGTAATTCCTCTTTGTATAGAGGGTTGGGTTTCTTTTGGAGAGAACCATATTTTGTAGGCTTCTCATTTTTTTGGTATACCTCTTTTATATGGACGAGTTGGCGTAGCTATTATTAATGAAATCTTTTACCTGATTAAAAAAGTGTAATTGCATGAGCTTTTCATTAAAATCTTCTGTTTCAAGTAAAGTCTTGCCTGATCTGTGTACTTGACCGGTCACTTTTATACTTTGCTTCATTGATGACCATGTCATGTTGGTTTCAGCCAAGGTCCTTTTCCGGGAAAAGCAGATGCAAAGCAGGCAGAAGGGATGATAGAAGTAGAGTTAGGCTCAGAAAAACACAAGGAAGAAGAAAGCCAAAAAATAAAGCGAGACAAAATGACGAACACACCCAAGTCAAGCAGCAAAAAATCTGTGAGTGTGCATCTTCTGTTCTCTTTGATTTAATTATGTCCTGTTTTCTGAAGTTAATTGATCGATGTAAAATGAATGTCTCAAGTGGAGAACAATCTAGCTGTTAAAGAAACCTGGCAGACTCAGAAGAACTTAAGAGTGTAGTGTAGACGAAAAAAGCTCCCAACTTTTATGAGCAGACAAGTTCTGTTGCATGAATTTCTTATTTGAATCATGTGTGTGGTGTGTCCAAATATTTTCGCCTTAGATATGAAGTTGAGAATCTTATTTTTCTTATAGGATTCTGGACCTTCGTCGAGCAAATCACCAGAAAAGCACAAGGAAGAGGAAAGCCGGAAAAAAAAGCGAGACAAAATGCCAACCACACCCAAGTCAAGCAGCAAAAATTCTGTGAGTGTGCATGTTCTGTTCTCTTTAATTTAAGCATATCCTGTTTTCTGTAGTTAAAGGTTGATCGATGTAAGTGGAGAACCGTCTTGCTGCTTACAGAAACCTGGCAGACTAAGAAGAACTTAGTGTAGTGTAGACAAAAAATATCTAACTTCCATGAGCAGACAAGTTCAGTCACCATGAATTCCTTGTTGGAAACACGTGTGAGATGTGTCCTAATATTTCGCCTTTAGATTTGAAGTTAGGAATCTTATTTTTCTTGTAGGATTCTGGAAATTCTTCGAGCAAATCACCAGATAAACATAAGGAAGAGGAAAGCCGGGAAACAAAGCGAGACAAAATGCCGGACACACCCAAATCAAGCAGCAAAGAATCTGTGAGGGTGCATCTTCTGTTCTCTTTAATTTAATCATGTTCTGTTTTCTGAAGTTAAAGGTTGATCATCCATGTAAAATGAATATCTCAAGTGGAGAACGATCTTGCAGCTTACAGAAATCTGGCAGACTAAGAAGAACTTAAAGTGTAGTGTAGACAAAAAGTTCTCTAACTTCCGTGAGAAGACTCCTAATATTTTCGCCTTAAATTTAAAGTTGAGAATCTTATTTTTCTTATAGGAGTCTGGACATTCGTCGAGCAAATCACCAGAAAAGCATGAGGAAGAGGAAAGCCGAAAAAGAAAGCGAGACAAAATGCCGAACAAACCCAAATCAAGCAGCAAAGAATCTGTGAGTGTGCATCTTCTGTTCACTTTAATTTGATAGTGTCCTGTTTTCTGAAGTTAAAGGTTTGATCGATGTAAAATGGTCTCAAGTGGAGAACCATATTGCTGCTAAAGAAACCTGGCAGACTAAGAAGAACTTAAAGTGTAGTGTAGACTGTAGACAAAAAGTTCTCCAACTTCCATGAGCAGACAAGTTCTGTTCCATGAAAATCCTTGTTTGAATCATGTGTTTGATGTGTCCAAATCTTTCGCCTTAGATTTGAAGTTGAGAATCTTATTTTTCTTATAGGAGTCTGGACCTTCGTTGAACAAATCGCCAGAAAAGGCAAAAATCAATCTCTATTTTCCACAGAAAACTGAGAAGAGGTCTAGCAAAGTCCAAAATAGACTCGAGGGAAAAAGGGGGTCCGTGGATGAAGTGATTATAATTGATTCTTTCCAAGTTCCAACAACTTGTTCATAAAACTTGTATTTTGAGTTTTAGCTTATGCACTTGTGTTACCACGCACTTACTAAAAATCCTACTCTGATGTCACACTATATTACATTTGCATTTTCCTGAAATCACACTGTCCAAAAAAATTTCACTTGAGTTTCTTTTTATCAACGAGACGTAAAAACATCTTCAACTGATTACTTATCCCCCACTCCCCCCACCCCCACCACACACACAAAAAATAAAGAAGAGGAAATGATCAAAGGAGAACTTGGAGGTGTTAACTAAATCATAGTTTCTTGGAAACACGAGTACATAGATATCTATATATGCAATCTTTCAGAAACATTAACTCATTGGTAATGTTTGAATGACATTCAGGTGGCAGCTTCAGCTGGAAAACATACACTGAGCGCACGCCAAGTAAAAGTAATGCGCGAGCTTGGTTTAATGGCTCCGTCTGGGTCTCCATTTGATAAAAGGAAACATGTTGTTGCTCCTCCAAAACTCCCAATTATTCCCAAGGACCGTGTTTCTACGCCTAAAAGGCTTCCATCCAATCCTAAGGAACGTCTTCCCGCAATTGATAGAATAGTTGTTTGTGGTCTAGCTGCTGCTGGATTTGTCAATCGTGTGATGAAGTAGCTTTTGTTTCTCAACTGTTTGATCCTCAGTAACTTAGAGTTTGATGACAACCTAAACTACCAATATAGTGCTGAAGCTGTCAGCAGTGTTATACGAGAGGGGATGTAGGATTACAAGCTAGTGGGCGCGGAGTACTGTGCACCCACACTTGTTTTTGTAACAATGAGAATAAGTTATAAACTTAGCTTTTAGTGATACAGTTTAGAACATCTCAATTATAGGTATACCTCAAACAAAGAAGCGGGTACAGGTACACCCGCATCCCTCTACCCCATGTCTATGGTGATGTTGTGATATCAACTGTAGAAATGCACATTATGTTCTCTTTTGATGTCCCCCTGTTTGTTGGACCACCCCTCTAAAGAGCAAAAACAATTTTTGGTTTGCATTTTGTTGTCGGAAGGGGTAAATTCTGAATGATATTTGTGATTGGGAAGTGAAAGGTAATGTATGCTTCAAAGAGGTCATAGGTTCGAGCTGTGGAAACAACTTCTTGCAGAATTGCAAGGTAAAGTTGCGTACCAGTAGACCCTTGTGGTCCGGTCCTATACAAAATATTATTCCTTTTACAGTTACAGGAAAACCTCATATTGCATACCAGTAAAAAGATCTGCCTATTTGTGATTCAGAAAATAATTCACAAGTACCAAATACTTGAAAGATTCAAAAAGTTATCAACAGGCCAGGCAAAATTCTTCTAGGTAACAGCTCACAATACAGTATCTAATGAATTATTGGTTCTATCTCATCTCTGACTATTAGTCAACAATTCGAAATATTTTTTCTTGCATATTCTTGACAATTCAACGTGCTCGAGCCCTTGCCTAGACACATACATACCCTCGTGACAGTGTCTCTCATCATAACTTGTCTTCATGACAGTGTCTTTCATCATAACTTGTCTTCGAACCAAACTGACTCGAGACACACTCATTGGATGTATAGGATGCCAATAGTTGCTTATTTTATGTCAAAAGTGATAATTTGCTGTTATAATCAGGTGGTGGAACCCACTAAAAAAAATGTGTGTGAAAATAGTAAACATGTTCAGAAATTGTTTAGCCTTTTATGACCATGAAGTTCTAAGTACTTGAAATAACTATACTAATAAATTGGTTATATATTGACATGACAATATTGACAAGAGGGTAAATCTAAAGACAATAAAATTTCTGGTTTCTTTAAGGGTTTATTCACTTTTTTGTATTTGGTTAGATCTATGTCTCTTCTTCACTTTATTTCATTCTTATTTTCTCATTTGAATTTTCAATGTTTGAAAGTGGAACAGACAGCAATTGATCTGTTGAACACTTTTGTTTTGTCTCCTCTGGTTATGTTTTTTTTTTTTTTTTGGTATCTTCCTGTTTAGAAATAGGATCTTATTTGGTTTTGACTATGTGGAGGTAACTCATTCTAAGTTTTATCGTATTTTTTTTTACTCTGTTTTAAAAAGAATGCTATATTTTTTATTTTCATTAATGAGATGTTTATGTTTACATAAATATCATACTTGTTATATATTCAGAAGTGTTTTTTTTAATATATATTTTGTATTCAGTCAAATATCGTGTAAAAAATTGGGAAGAAGGAAGTTGTAATGTGTCAATGTAAAGTGGAAATGCTTTTTTTTTTTTTGGGGAAAATACACAAGTACGTCCAAAATTTCAGATACACACATATACTATACAAATGTCCTATTATCCCCCTGAACTTATTTTATAAGTAATTTTCTACCTCTTTTTGGGCTATGTGGCACTAGCTTGAAAAAAAAGTCAATCAGTGTTGGGCCCACAAGATAGTGTCTCGTAGGCCGAAAAGGGGTAGAAAATTATTAATAAAATAAGTTCAGGGGGTAATAGGACCTTAGTATAGTATAAGTGTGTCTCTGAGATTTCAGACATATATTGAGGGGTACTAGTGCATTATCTTTTTTTTTTTAAAAAAAGGCTAAAAATTGTCATACCACTATAACATATTTAGCGTAATTCTACAAATTATGTTTTTAAAGGATAAAATGCACAGAGATCTTTACCCTGGCATTGGAGATATAGACTCCCAACTTAAGAAAAAAAAGTTCAAAGCAATATACGAAAAGGAATATTGGAAGTGAATAAGCCATGACAAAATACAATAGAAACACAAATCGTTTTGAACTGCAAAATAATACAATAATCGAAGGACAAGAAACTACAAGAGTAATGTTACTATAAGCGGTAAAACACTCTACTAGCTACTAACGTTCTACCTTGGTCCATGTCTTCCCCAATTTTCTATATATGATCGTGTATTCAAAAAGTTGAAATTGCGTCATATTCTGTCTCTCCAATACTTCTTCGATCTATCTTCATGGCTCTACACCATTCATCACCAACATCTCACATCTCTACACTTGGACATGCTTTCCATGGAGTCATGTACAAATAGACTTCTTCTTTTAGTTTTTAATATCACCAATGAGAACCACCACATTTTCTTTATTTCTCCTCGGGTGTACTATGCTTATAATGAAGTTTCGAATAATCTGAATTCGCATCACGTAAGATTAATATATATAAAAATACTTTTTATTTGAAATTTTAGCTTGAAACCTCTGATTAAAAAGATCGTATCAATACCATCAGAAATCATAATCACTAACATTTAAATAAAATTTGCACCAATGAAAAAACAAAAGAAGTAGGGCTACATGTTGCATGTATGACATAAATAGTAAAAGGAAATAACAAGAAAAAGTCTTCTCTTCTGTTAAGCCATATACTAGTAGATAGGAGGCAAAGTATGAAATGCCCCCATGACAAGTTAACATCAACAAAATTGATAAAAAAAAACTTAAGAATTTTGTTTGTTGGGTTGGGTGGGTAGGTCAGTGGCAGAGCTAGAATTTTATTTTAGGGGTGTTAAAATCTAAAAAATAAAATCGCGTAAAAGTCAAGGAGTGTCAATATATAATATTTTTATTCTAGCTACATAATGTAATTTTCCGATTCCGTACATGTGGCTCCGCCACTGGGTGGGTGAGGGTGGGGGTGGGGTGTCATGTGGACCCACAAATCCTGTGTCAAGTAATGTGCCAAAACTGAATATTTTTGCAGTGTTACACTCTGTCTGAGATTTTATGGTCTCAAATTTTACTCTACGTATGTTTGTTTAGCACTATATATCAATGTATATAAATTTTTATACTATTAGATTAAGTCGATTCATAACAAGTAATTCTCTATAATAAACCATCTAGGTGCAAAGAGTGCGATTATGGCTAGTAAGAGGTTGCTTACAAGTTACAATCGATAACTTTCTACGATAAGTCAGATATGGTAAGTCAATAACCTAAAAAATATAATTATACCTAACGAGTTTAACATTTACCAGATTGAGTTTATCTTTTGTTATTATAAGAGAATTTCTACATATCAAAGATAAGTACAAATAATATTTCATCACATTACTAATCGAACAAATTAGGTCGACACACTATAAATCACATATATTTAGGTGCTAATTACATGGATCCTATTTCTAGTAGTTTCCTCAATCACAAAAATTGCTATTTAACGAGGGGATGTATCTGAGAGGGTATTTTTGTAATCTTTTTAAATACTAGTGAATTTTAGTGACTGTAATATCTATGTATTTACATTAAACATATATCGGTTAATTACATGTAAAATACGTATAAAAAGTTTCAGTATGTATATATATATGATATAACTTTTAAAATCGAAAAAAAAAATTAAAATAAATAAATAAAACAGACAATGAGAGTCTGATCCGCTGAACACTGCATAATAAAACAATACTTCAATATATATAATTAATAAATAATTTTTTTCTTTTGAAGCTAATATTAATTATTAATAATATTAATAAGAATAGGAATATTTGATTTTGCTTTCAATTTGCAGTGGTAAAAGTACTGTTCAGTATCAATCTGATTAGCATATTTTCAGTAGTCCCCTCTCTGTATATATATTATTCATTCTTGATATCTCCTTTTCACATATTAATTATAATAATAATAATCATTTTCACAATATATTAAATCATTATTATTTATTATTTTTATAAAAATAATAAATGTTCAAAGGTACATTCTCTCTAGTCTATAGATTGGTCCTGTGAATATTTTGGAGGGTTAATATATGAATATTTTCTTGCATTAAATACTAGAATTTTGGAGACTTGAGGAATTAAATGTGTATAATTAATTAAAGAGGATGGTAAGGACGATAAAGTCGTGATCACAGATTTAAATCGCGAAAATAGAATGAGAAATATGAGACTTGCTAGGGTCACATCATGGGATAGTTAAGTGCAAACTTAATTTCAGTGTAGTTAATTTAGAAATCATGATATTTTCTTTCTTAATTATGAAAATTAATGTTTTGAAGGATCCATTAAAGGTGTTATTACCTAATTTGACAATTTTGAATGTATATAAAAATGTGTAATTAATTCGTAAGGGGTAAAATATTACTTATCCCCTACTATTCTTTTAAAATGATTTTCTAGCATCGTAAAAATAAAATATTGTTACATATAAAAACGCTTCGATTGATATTATTATCGATATAATAATTTATATTATGTCATGTATATTTTTATGTTAGAGTATTCTTGAAAATATACAATAACAACATACACGTTCGAAGAAATTAATATCTACATAAATTTTAAACTATATCTTAAAAATAAATTATTATTTTTATAAATCGTCGAAACGAAAAATAATGGTTGATTGTAAAAAAATTTTCCTTTTCACAAAATTCAAAAAACAACCAACAAAGAAAGAGATATGTGATGAAGTGAGGTTATCAATCTGAAAAATGTGTCTCATTCCATAATTTACCTTTTAACCGCCAACGGTAAAAAGTCAGTACACTCTTAAGCCTAGTCTATTTCTATGTTCCATAATATCCATACAATTTCATCATCACTCCCTCTCTCTTTTTTCACGGTTTTAATTTGTTCATCTTACTTTACGTTATATTTTTAAAATATTGATGTCCTTGTTCAAATAATAGAACTAGATTTTTTGATAAGGGAGTTCAAAATCTGGAGAAGTGAACGCTAACAAATTTAGGGGGTTTCGTCACTTGCTACATATACACAAAAAATAATGTTAATTAAATATGTATAAATAGTGATATTTTCCGTCGAAGGAGGTTTGGATAAAACCCCTAACTTTATCCTAGCTCCGCCCCTACCCCCGTCATCCAAAAACTAGAGCAAATATGTCCTTCACTCTAACGAAAGACTAAATAGGGACACGTGACACAATCATAACCATCGATTCAATATTTAATAAATGTTGGGTTGGTGGATAAGATTATAACATGTGTATGTCCATTAGTATAAAGGGTATATATATAATTTAGTTTTTGAACGGCAGAAAACGTCGATGTCCCAAAAATATGACGAATGGTATCTACATATCATCTACAA